CTGGCCCAGCCGGGAGGGGCTGCAGGCTGCTCCCCCAGCCCCAGACCCAGGGCTCCCCGGAACCAGCAGTCAGTATCTGTGTGGGGAGCCCGAGGCAGGTCCTGCAGGGGCCCCCCAGGCTCTCCTGTCCCCGGAGCTGGGGGACCCTTCGGAAGACCTGAGTGTGAGCGCAGGGGCTCACAGCTCTCACTGTCACCGTCCGCCTGCCGCCCGCACCACTGCCGAGAAGCCGGGGTCGCCCCCTGTCCTCACCGAGGCCCCTGACGGACGGCAGGTCACACCAGGACACCACCCTCCGTCGGAAACGCCCGACGTCAGACGCATGTATCCCATGCACTGACCACGCCCCCCAGCTCAGCGCGACCCACCCTAAAGGTGCCCGGGGACCGCCTCAGCCCGCGCTCGGGCGACCACCGACACGAGCCTGTTCTCCGATCAAGTGCCCAGCGTCTCATGAGCTTTATCACGCGTATCTCAGTGGGTGAGCGCCAGCCACAGGCCCAGGGTCCGGGGTTCCATTCAGAGCCAAGGGCACCTACCTCAGTTGCAGGCTCGACCTCGGCCCAGGTTGGGCGCGTGTGGAAGGCAACTAATCGATGTCTTTCTCACATCGATGTTTCTCTCTCTCTGGCTCTCCCCCTCCCTTCCACTCTCTCTAAAAATTGATGGAAAAATATCCTCAGGGGAGGATTAACAACGAAAATAAATCAATAAGGCTCCATGGCCCCATAAAAACACACACCCTAATGCTAATCCTCGGGAGTCAGGGGCCACCTGTCCTTCCCACAGGCACGTCCCAGGCCGGGGAGCCGCCATGGACGCAGCCACCTGCGCCTGGTTCCTGGTGCTTCCGTGGTTTTCACGGTCACTGAGCGCCCGCCACTCGGTCCAGCCCGGGCAGGGACCCTCTGTCCTGGCCAGCAGCGCCCTGGGGAACCCACATGGCAAAGAGAAGGGCAGGGCAGCCACCACACCTGGACAGGTGGCCAGGCTGTGCCAGACGTAAGCCCGGGACGACAGGTGCACATGGAGGGCACCCTCTGAGCCACCACGGCTGGGACGCTGGGAGGGGGCAGGGAGGTCCAGCCCTGCCCACAGGACGCCCACCCCCAGGCCAGCCCTGCAGACCCTCCCTCGCCATCACCCACGCCCTGCGGCCCGGCGCTCCCTGAGCCCACTCCTGGGTGCCATGCGGAGCCCTCACGGTTCCCGCCCGTGCCAGGCTTCTTCCCCTGGGCACTTCCTGTCCATTCCTTTTACCCCAAATGCCTCAGGCCAGGACCGACTCTAGAGTCACCTGCAAGACACTGGCCCAGGGGACACTGTGGCCGGACAGAAACGCCTCCCCAAACACGAGTTCCCCACAACCAAGCTGCACCGTAACTTCTGTACACGATGCCCGGCTCAGCTCGGGGGGACGGGGTCGCCCGGGCAGGTGACCGCGGCCCGACGCCTACCTTCCAGTGGGCTTCCGAGCGCTGCATGAAGTCCAGCCCGGCCTTGACCTCCGCCTTCATCTCGTGAATGTGGGCCACGGTGTGAACCGACCACGCGTCCGTGGGGGTCACAGACAACGCCTGGGGGGCGGGAAAGACGGGGCGGATCAGTCAGGCTGCGGCTCGAGTTCTGCACACGCGGCCTGAACTGGAGGCCGGACATCGGGCGGGGCCAGCGTGGGGACTGGGCTCAGCCTCAAACAAGAATGGCCCGAAGGCCAGACCTGCTGACCCCCTGCGGCTACTAAGGGCCGTCATACCCATTTCACAGATGGGACTGAGCGCTGGCCCGGGACCACCCAGCCGTCTTCCCACCGCCAGGGCGCGCCTGAGGGAAGGGCTGGCCGCGGGACCCTGCCTCCTAGCCCCCAGCCAGGGCCACCAGAGCAGCCTCCGCTCCAATTGTGGCTCATCTCCCCGAGTGACATTAGTGACAGTAGTGAGGTCCGAGGTGCGAGCGCCCGCATTTCCATATGCTCCTGGCCTCCCAAGCTCTGGCTCCCGCAGGGTCAGGCGGGCTCTGCAGGCAGACAGAGCGGTGCTAGGGCCGCTCTCCGTGCCACCGGAGCGAGGGGCGGCCTCCCTGGCCTCGCTCGCCTTCCTCGCCTGTGGAGGTAGTTGGTGCTTCGTGGCTCCGCGGACCGGACCGCAGGAGGCGCTGTGACCGGCGGCAGCTGCTGTCACCACGAGTCCTTCCCCCCAAATCCTCGAGGAAACGGGCGCAGAGGGGGAACCTGGCCGGGGCCACCCACCAGCGGGTCCTCGTGCCCCTGCCCCACGGACGCCAGCCCTGAGGCCGGCACCTCGGGGAGCCACCCACCTCTTTGGCGAGCTTCTCCGCCTGGTCGTAGAGGTTGGTCTCCATCAACCCGAACGAGTAGATGCCTTTCACGTAGCTGAAGACAGAGCGACAGTCCTTTTTAAGAAGGGGACCGGGACCGTTCAACCCTCAGCACGACCTGCACCAGCCGATGTGCCCCCACACGCCCCCTGGCTCAGCCCCCACGGCTCAGAGGCTCCTTCTCAAAGGCGGACTGGAGCCCGGCTGGTGCGGCTCAGTGGTTGAGCACCGACCCAGGTTTGACTCCCAGCCGGGGCGGATGCCCTGGTTGCAGGCTGGGTCGCCAGTGGGGGGCCTTTATCATCGGCTCCCAACCCAACCCCTGTCTCCGTGCTGAACCCTCTGCAATTCACATCCCTCCTCCTAGGATGCCAGGATGCCAAGGGGGGCGACAAGGGTCTTTTCCCTCCTGCCCGCGAGGAGGGACAGCTCAGGGACAGCCCGGGGAGCCGTGGTGACCGCGGGCTGTCAGCAGCTTCTCCCCAGACCCCAGCTTCTGGAGGCGGGGGCCCCATCTGTCCAACTGGCTCTCACCCCGGGCCCCGCTGAGCACAGGCTGGGCGACGCAGCGCTGACTAAACGCACGCCTTCCTTGCCCCATCACCACCGGCACCCAGCTCCCGCGCTCTTCCTGCGCTTTTGCGGGATTCTGCGGGGGCGAGAGAGAACCACGGAGCTTCTCCCTGAGGCTCGGGTGTGGTCGTGTCTCCGTGGACAGGGGAACTCCAGCTTTACTCTCCACGGAAGCAGCGTTCTGGAGCACTGGCTTCTGACTTCGCCTTTAAATATTCATGGGCTCTTCTTGGGGTCCTGTCACCGCCGACAGCTAAGCGCACATGGGATGCTCGCGGCCGGCAGCCTCTACCGGCTCCGCGACGGTTACGCTGATGTGTCACCTCAGCGGGGCCACGGCGCGTCGTCGGGTCAGACGCGATCTAGGTGCTGCTGTGACGGTCGTGTTTGTACGCGGCTGACATGTAAATCAGCAGGTGACGCTCCACGTGTGGGTGTGGGTGGGCCTCGCCGCATCAGGCGAAGGTTTTCGAGCCGAGACTGACCTCCCAGGGGAGGAAGGAAGCGGCCTCTCCCGAGACGGCGGCCCAGCGCGCTCCCTGACTTTCCCGACTGCGCTGTCCTGCGGCCTGGGACTCGCCAGCCGCCAAGAGCTGGAGCCAACGCCGTACAATCCATGTCTCTACACGCATGCAGACACGGAGGGTGACGTTTGCATACACACGTAAGCAACATGAATATAGGTGCACACGTGGTACTGGTTCTGTCTCTCTGGAGAACCCTCACTCACACGGCTCTTCAATCCATTCATCTGTTTGACCTTCACCACGATCCTCTGGTTCAGAGGCGACGAAGCCCTGGCCGGTGTGGCCCATGGTTAGAATGTCGGCCTGGGCACCGAAGGGCCGCAGGTTCAATTCCCAGTCAAGGGCATGGACCTGCCTGCCAGGCTCGATCCCCAGCTCCGGTTGGGACACATGCAGGAGGCAACCAAACAATCGATGTCTCTCACCTCTTTCTCTCTTCTCTCTCTCTCTTCTTCCCTCTGTCCCTCCCACTCTCTCTAAAAATCAATGGAAAAATATGCTCGGGTGAGGATT